TTTTTTTTTTTTTGAAGTGTTTTAGACATCATATTACTTTACTCACAAGTACTTCAGGAGGCATCTCTATTAAATAAGGTGGTAACAAAAGCAATAAATCATTATTAGATTTAACAAAATAAAAAATAATTCTATACTATCATTTCATTTCTAGCTTGTACTAAAGTTTTCCTGTTGTATCAAGGATGATATTTTACAGCTGATTTTCTTGAATCAGGAAGTCTGTGGTATTATATTTGGTTGTTGCATCTGCTCAGGATGCTAAAATAAAAATATCATAGACTGGGTGGCTTAGATGACAGGGGTTATTTTCTCATAATTCTGGAGCCTAGCAGTTCAAGCAGAAGTTGCTAGTAGGGCTGGTGTCTGGAGAGAAATCTCCAGGCGCTCTTACTGGCCATGTATTCACGGAAGCTCAGGGTCCTGTAAGACTGTGGACCTATCTTTTTTTAAAAAAAAAAACTTCATTTCATCTTTACTACCTCCTCACATCCTCCATCTCCAAACATAGTAACACTGGGAGAGGGAGGTCAGTTAAGGTTTTAGATATCAATTTGGGAATAAGGGAAACACAAATATTCGGCACCAATCCGTTGTCTCTTGACTCTTTTATTCTATCATTGCCTGCCCGTTTGTCATTTGTTTTGTGTAATTCCCCTACTTTCTGTTTGGCCAGTTGTTTCCTTATGGTGTCATTTCCCCTCTGCCTCTTTCATCCACATTTCCTGCAAATGGGTAGTTAGATCTAGAAGCTTGATTAGATTTGAATTTAAATCCATTTTTTTAAAAAGATTTGCCTATGCATTCAAGACCTGGGGGTATAGGTCATAGGCGTGTGTGGTGAAAGGACTCACCAGAGACAGAATGGGGAGCAGAACAGGCAGAGCTATGGAAATACACTGCTGAGGGGAGCAGTGGGGGAGATAGGAGAGGTCTGCTGAGCAATGTGGGTCAGCTCCCTGGTCAGGGAACCAATTCATGTTGCAGTGGCTGCTGATAGTTTGATAGCTCTGTGTCTTTAACCCCTGCACCATCAGAGAGGCCCTGGGTTTAAATATTTTATGTAATGCCTTATATGATTGTTTTTAATGAGAAAGCAAAAAATCTGTATAGTACAAGCTTTAAAACCAGGCAGAACTTTTGTTGTTGTTGAGACCATGTTATATTTATATTTGCATTTTTTTTAAGATTTATTTATTTATGCATACAAGAACTGAGGTACAGGCCAGCGATATGGGAGGCTGGAGGCTGGAGGCTGGAGGCGTGTGAGAGGACTCACCAGGGACAGAGTGGGGAGCAGGACATGAAGACTGACTGAAGTACACTGAGGATTAACTGAATACAGTGGGCAAGGCAAGGGAGATCTGCTGAGCCATGTGGTCTGTTGGCCAGGGAGGGATAGAATCAGCTGCTTTGGCTGTGGATAGCTTCTTAGTGCTGCACTTTAAGCCCTTGCAGACCAGGGAGGCCCCTATATTTGCATTTTTACAAAGTAGTTTGTGGCATACAGGCCTAAAATTGTTTCTAAAATCCCTACTAAAGTGCTCTATTAATTTAAGGATTAGACTGTAAGATCTAGGTTTTGTTTATAATTCTATGGGTTGTTTTTAACAATTCCAAAGTATGTTTCTGGATTTTGATAAACAAGGTGAAATTCCCTATTTTTTAAAACTCTACTGAACTAAAGCAGTCTCATAAAGCAAAGAGAATTTAATCTTGTAAGCCTAGACACTAGGCTTAAAAATTGCATATTCGGCCCTCCCTGGTGGCGCAGCGGGTTAAAGCACAGCACTGAGAATCTGAAGCCACTTCTGCATGAGTTCGATTCCCGCCTGCCCCGGAGGAGACCACATGGCGAGCCAGACCTCTCCTGACCCACCCGCTGCTCCCCTCAGCAGTGTACTTCGTCAATCTGCCTGTTCTGCTCCCCACTCTGTCTCTGGTGAAGCCTCTCACCGTCCCTGAGCCTCTGGCCTATACCCCAGTTCTGTATGAATAAATAAATAAATCTTTTTTAAAAAAAATTGCATATTCACAACAGAAAAAAAAAAAGATTACTTGGAGGACCCTGACATTTCTAGGAGGAAGTAGCCATGGAACTGACCTTGAGGGACATGGGATATTTAGGAACTTGGGGAGGGATATTGTAAACCTAAGGAGACATATTCAAAGCAGAGACGCTAGAGATTTCACTAGTCACAAGAAAGGCATTTAATGTGACTGCTTCGTGGGGTGTGAAGGAAGTCTGGGAAGCTGGGTTGGAGGCTGGGTCACCAGGTGTCCTGGAAGGCAGGCTCATAAGGTCATGGTGAGCCGTCAGAAGTTGACTGTGTGTGTGTGTCAGAAGTTGCTGTCTGTGTGTGCAGTTTCCCCCCAAACTGTTATTTTGATTCTTACAAATGGTAGCAAGGTGAGATCATTGATTAATGAAGAAAATATACATGAATGATTTTCCCAGCAAGTTCAGATGATGATGATGATGATAGTAAGAGCTAGAAAATAATGGCAGCTAACATTTATCAAGCATTTACTACATGCCAGGTCCTGTTCAAAGCACTTTACATGCATATTGTCATGTATTCCTCTCAACAGTCATAAGAAACTGGTACTGGTATGTTCCCATGTCACAGATGAACAAATTTGTGACACAGAGCAGCTAGGTAACTTGCTCAAGGACACAGAGCTTGTAGGAAGTGGGGCTAGTGATTGAACCCAGGCCATCTATCCCCAGCCTGTGCCTTTAGGTTGCTGGGAATTTTAAACAGGTAAATGCCTGGATCGGACTTGTTGCCACACTGCTTGGCGATAATTTGGAGGATGAATCAAAGCAGAAAGACTGAGGATGAGGAGACCTAAGAGGAGACTGTTGTAATTACCCAAATGAACACTGATGAGAACTTTTGTTGGAAACAGACTTGAGATGTGTTTGGGAGATAGAAGTAGGAACTGGTGAGGAAAGTGTAGCATATTTACTTGGCAATGTGCTTGCCGGTCTCCCTCATTAGACTAGAAGCAGTTGGCAGGTAGGGGCTAGCTCTTACTCAGTACTTTGTCTTCTACCACAACATGCTGAATATCCTAGGTGTTCAACACATGCTTGCTGAGTGAATGACTTACAGGTGGCTGAGTGGCTGCATAATAATACAGCTCCCTCATCACAACCCCACGAGATATGGACTCTTCACATTGTGGTCCCTATTTTAGAGATTAAGAACCCAGCCATGGAAAAATGAGATAACTATGGCCATATAAATAGCTGCAGATTTGGGGTTAACCAGGACAGCCAGGCTCCAGGCACTTCTGAACACTGCCACAGTAGAGCAGAGAGGATTAGACAAAGCCAGAACCCTCCAGAGTCAGTTAACACCCTGGACATCACCACGGATTGAAGACGTGAGTCACCGAATCTTCACAACAACCAAAAAAGGCCTGGCTGGCTCTTCAAGGCTGGTGCACAGCAACTGGACTGGCTCAGGCTGTGTCAGAAGTGTGTCGGCTCTCTACCCCCACAGCTCTCATGGGCTGAGTCCAGAGCAACTTTCAAGGGCTAAACCTACTCACTATTCCTGTTCATTTCTAGTTTGCTCATTTAGTCATGCTGAGTCCTACTAGTCCAGAGCATAAGGGGCGCATGGGTGCAGGGAGGGCTGGGAGATGGTATCAGAAAAGGACACTCAGAGGGTGTCCTCTGACAGGTGGTAATTGGAGTTTCACCCTACCTGTAACTCCATTTCTTTCCTTATTATTTTTTTCTCCTTTCTTTTATCCTTTCCACTCCCCGCTCTCCCCATCTTCCACAGCCGTGCTGTCTGTCTTCACCAACACACCTGCCCCTCGAATCCGACTGGGACGAGATGCACTGCTGGACTTGAGTTTTGCCTACACACCGCCCACCTCCCAGGCTACTCCAGCTCCAGCCCCAGGCCCCCCTCCCTTTGGACTGGAGTGGCGACGTCAGCACCTGGGTAAAGGGCACCTGCTCCTGGCTGCCACTCCTGGGCTGGATGGACAGATGCCAGCTGCCCAAGAGGGAGCAGTGGCATTTGCAGCGTGGGATGATAATGAGCCTTGGGGTCCATGGACTGGAAATGGGACCCTCTGGCTACCTGCAGTGCAGCCCTCTCAGGAGGGTTCCTATCTGGCCACCGTCCACCTGCCATACCTGCAAGGGCAGGTCACCCTGGAGCTTGCTGTGCAGAGTGAGTGACGGGACAGGTGTTCCCACAGGTAGAGGGTGGACACTGGGATTCTTAGGAATCCAAAATAGTGGTACATGGGGATGGTAGAGGAGTGGAAGGAGACAGACTAAGGTCGCTACGAGTCCCAAGGGCAATGATTAGAAAGTTTCTGGGAATTTGTGGGGCTCTGGGATGAAGTTTCCCAAATCTGAGAATAGGGTCCCTGAGAAAGGAGACTTTGGCATAGGAATTCCTATGGAGTGCCAGTGGGGAGATTCCCTCCTTCTGGAGAAAAAATACAAGCCCCCTCAGTTTTGGGGAATCTAGAGAGCAAACTGAGGGTTTCTGAGGGAGGACAGTGTGGACTCATTACCACCATGCTCCTCTCCTATTCTTTCCAGAGCCCCCCAAAGTGTCTCTGACACCAGCACCTCTTGTATGGGCTACTGTTGGGGAGGCCCCCCCGGAGTTGCTCTGCCTTGTGTCCCATTTTTACCCCTCTGAGGGCCTCGAGATAGAATGGGAGCTCCGTGGTGGCCCAGAAGGCGGCATTCAGAAGGCCAAGGGGCAGAAGTGGTTCTCCACAGTTCGCCACCATTCTGATGGCTCCGTCAGCCTCTCTGGGCACTTCCAGCCAACCCCGGTCACTGCTGAGCTCCACGGGGCACGCTATGCCTGCCGCGTCTACCACTCAAGCCTTCCTGCTTTGGGACGCAGCGCAGAGATCACACTGGAGATAGCAGGTAGGAGCCAAAAGCATCCAGAAGCTGCAGTCTAACCTGAGAAGACATGGAGCTTACTCTAGTCTCTTCTGGCCACCAGGTTTCTCTGGGCCCTCCCTGGAGGATGGAGTTGGTCTCTTCCTATCTGCCTTTTTCCTCCTTGGGCTTATCAAGGCACTGAGCTGGCTTGGTAAGTATGAGCCCCACCAACCAGGACCCTGCACTGTGGGATATTCCCTGCCCACTCCCAGAAGCCTAACTTCTATCCTGCTGCCCTGCTCCCATCACTCCCCTTCCCCCATCTCTCAAACTCTCTCCACAGCTGCCTACCTGTCTACACCCAAGGATTCAAAGGAGGAGAAGGTAATATCACTTCCCCTTCCCTTATGGTTCCCTTCTCATTTAATTCCATCCCTGCCCCCTCAACTGTTCACCCTTGGAGGGAGGCTGCTGGTGTGATGGAATTCACAGACCTGGGTTAGATCTTGCTGCCTTGAGCAGGCTATTTAACAAACACCTTATTTTCTCTGGGTGTTGAGATTAAAACAAAAAATGACCTGGACAGTACTGTCCATAGGAATATAATGCAAGCAGTATGTGTAAATTTAAATGATCTGGTAGCAACATTAAAAAGGTGGATTTTAATAATTTATTTCATCCAAGATATTAAAAATTTTATCATTTCAACAAGTAATCAACATAAGAAACAACAGTTCTCCCCCCTCCCCCCTCAAATTCAAATACAGGAATTAATCTGTCCGCATATCTCAGTGCAGACTAGCCATATTCTAATACAGATACCCACGGGTGGTGGCTACTGTATTTAAAGGTGAACTTAAGGTGAACTTCAGTTTTGTTGGAAGGACTGAAAGAGACAGTCATCTTCTTTGGAAGATGCAGTGGCAGTGTCTACCATCAAGAGAACACAGAAAATATTAGCCCTGTGTTTTTCCCACCCTGTGCCCATATTAGTTCATTTACCTCTAGATTGAGAAGGGGCCCCCAACTCCTCACCACCTTCTTACTTTTCTTCCAGAAAGCAGAGTGAGAGCACTCACCTTCATCCTGGGGAAGCCATCATTATTTCTGCCTCAGCTACTATGATAGCACCCTCATCAACCACCATCTGTTCCTGCCTCCTCCTACCTCTCCAAAAGTGACTGGAATACTTTAATTGCTGTTAGAATTTTTTTTTTTTTAGATACAAACTTATGGCATTCATCTTTTTAGGCCTCTAGGACAATGGTTCTCAAAATTTTTAGTCTCAGGACCTCTGAAAACTTATCAAGGAATCTTAAGGAGCTTTTGCTTAGGAGGGTTGTAACTTCATTGTCCCGGAACTTAAAAAAGAAAAATCTTGAGGCCAGTTATGCCAGTGCACATCTTGTGCCTTCTGAAAAACAGTGTATATTCTTAGAGAACTAGAGTGAAAAAAGCAGGTGACATCTTAGCATTATGAAAAGTCTTAACCTGGTAAAACCCCTGCAAGAGTCACAGGTTCACACTCGAGAACAAGTGTCCTAGAAGCCAAACCCACTCTTCTTGCCATTGGCCTAAGCATCCCACACTTAGCCGCAGCTTACCCTTCTGCCCACCTGTGCCCTCCGACCTCCTCTCCCTCCTGCCAGCCCTTGGTGCCCATGCTCCTTTCCCTCTGCCAGCTCGACCCTCATCCTCTCTGGGCTCTAGTCACGATCAGCCCTAGCACTGCAGGCCACCATGTGTCCCACTGGTGCGGTTCTCTGCGATTGTACTTACTTAAGTGATTAAGAGAGTCGTTGGTAAACGTCTTGTCTCCTCCCTCCGCCCCCCCTCCCATACTGAGGGCTCCTGAAAGCAAGGATGCACCTGTCTGCAGTATCCCCTGCGCCTGCACAGCCTGACGGCCACTGGGGGGCGCCCGGCGTAAGAAATTAATCTTTCCCGCCTACTGCATTTAAACACCGGTGGTGTCAGGGCTAGTAACCAGTGGTCGAAGGAAGCTGCGACTCGTTTTGGGGAACCTCCGAGGAACAGGACTGCCGGCCAGACGGACGCGGGCGGCGGGTCTAAAAGTGTGGGAATAAATTGTGTTCCAAAGCTCCCAAAGGGCTGTCTCGTTCTATCCCAGGGTTCCCCTTTTCCAAGAAAAATCACTCTCCCAATCACTTCTGGTCCCTTCCAGTTACCCCGACGTCTTGGTGACACGTAACCGCCTCTGAAAGTTTGTGGTGGGCGCCACCACCCGCCAACCGGACACCCGCGATCAGAGGGCCGGGAGACCTACAGGGTCCCGGGCTTCATCCAGCGCCGGAAACCCCGGAGCGCGAATCTGGAACCGGATGTGGCGGCTTCCTGCTCCGCCCCTTACGAGGCGGGAACCGAGGGCGCTCCCGAAAATCCGGAGTGGACCTCCGGCCGCTACGCGCGTGGGTGGGGGTGGGGCGCGTAACCCCGCGCGGTGGCGCGGCTGCTCCCCCCGGCCTTAAGTGTTCCCGGGAGCCTTCGCCTTGTGTGGAGCGGGGAGTGTCAGATTCTCCCCTGCCCTCCCCCGGGCTTGGGGCCTAGAATCTTCTCCAAGTTCAGTGAGGGGCGACGTGGGCTCCGGGTCCCCGAGTCGGGGGGAGGGGGCCGTGAGGATCGCGGAGCTGAGGCCTGGACTCCTGGCTCCCGGCCCCCGGGCGCCCAGCGCTCCCCTAGTCCGAGGCCCTGGCTCCTGTCCTCACTTCCTTCCCCTTTTGGCTCCTGCTCTCGGAGCGGGCGGACGTGGGGGGGAGCGGAAAGGGCGGGAGAGCCCGGGAACCTGGCGGGGGGGGCGGGGGGGTTAACGGGGGTGCGGAAAAGCCAGGGAGGGTATTCGGTCGCGGGCCGGAGACCGAGGAGAACAGCGGCCCGGGGACCCGCGCTGCCCCCCACCCCACCCAAGCAGGTCAGAGCCCTATGACCCTGCCCGTTCCCGTGACCCCTTCATCCCCAAGTGCACCAGGGGCCCCCATATTCCACCCTGGCGTTGACCCCCGCCCTCAGTCTCCCTGCTGGATTTCCATCCGGTTTCCTAGACACCCACACGCGTCCCTCCCCGTCCGGATCCCCCGCGCCCACCTGACTCTCCACCCGTTCCCCCTCCGGTCTCTCCCCAGGCGCCCCCATGGGCCGACCCCGCTGATTCCTTCATCCGGCCATGCTCCCGCGGCCCCTGCGGCTGCTTTGGGACACGAGCCCCCCCGGGGGAGTCGTGTTGAGCAGCTTCCGGAGCCGAGACCCCGAAGAGGGTGGGGGCCCAGGTGGCCTGGGCGAGGGCGGGGGGCAGGAGGAAGAGGAGGAGGAGGAAGAAGACGAGGTGAGACGCAGGTGGTGGGAGGTAGGGGCTGCAGAAACTTGGGAGACTGCTCTCGAGTCGGTGTCCCAGCCTCCCTCCCTTCCGCCCTGCCTCAGTTATTTCCTCTCACTGGGTGTCTGCCAGTTTCCCCGCTGTGGGGAGCCCCGGCGTTCCTCCGGACCTTTGTGACTGTGACTCGGGACCTGCCCGTGGGAACTTAGCCCGTTACCGCCTGGAGGGTCGGTCTGGCCTTGGGTCCCTGGCCCTCTGCGCCTCTGCCCCTGTGCCTGCTTCTCTGGGCTTTGTGTCTTGGTCCCTGTCCCTCCTTGTTTTTGTTTGGCGGGGAGGGGTTTGTTTCCACAGTAACCAGCTCCTCAGACTCTGGGATTGGGGAGGGAACCCTTCGATTTCGTGACCCCTCCCCCTTCTCCCTCCTGGCGGCGGTGCGGAGGCGGAAAGCTAAGGTTCTTGAACCTCGGAGGGCCCAGCAGAGGTGGTCACCTGCTTTCCTCAGGGACTAATGGTGGTGGCCGGGAGCAGGATTTGGGGACACGGGAGGGACCAGAAGTTGGATTTGGGACCCCGAGGCCCTGGACTCCTGGGTCCTGAGGCTGGGTGAGGGCAGGGTGACTGGCAGGGCTGGTTTTTCGGGATCCGTTGGGAGGAGGGGCTGGGGCCACGTGACACTGAGTCTACAACTCCCCCCCACCCCCCCATCATCCCCACTTCCCCTTCTCTTTCCTGTACTGGGATCGGAGCCGCCACCTTGAGGGGGTCTAAGAGCTGAGGAACGGGGGCCGGGGGCTACGGGGAAGGGCTTATTCTTTGGGCTTGGCTAGTTCCTGCGGGGAAGGGCGGAGCATGGGGCTGTGCTGTGACTGAGGTTTCAGCTTCTCAAGGTCTCTGCCACTTGACTTTCTCGGCCTTTGGCCTCCCTTTCTGTTCTTTACACCTTGCTTCTCTGCTTTGCTGGGGCTCAGCTCTGGGGGGAAGGGGCTACGGTGGTCTCCAGGATCAGGGTTGCCTTCCACCAACCCTCCCACTTCAAGCCCCTCTATACCGAGCCCTGAGGCGGCTTGGGGGGGGCTGTCTGGGCCCCAGTGTGGGAGACCTGGGGTCACCAGCCCGCCCCGCCCCTCGCACTCGCTGGTACTGTCCCCTGCCATCACAGGTGAGGGGCACAGAGGGAGGAGTAGGACCTGGAGTGAGGGCTGGGGACAGTGGGGGTGCTGTGGGGATGTCTGACAACCCTTCCTTGCTCCTCCAGGCCCCTGTGACTGCCTGGGATGAGGAGGAGGATGGTGCCACATTTACTGTCACCAGCCGCCAATATCGACCTCTTAATCCCTTGGTGAGATCATAATTTTGACTTCTTACCTCTGATCCATCACCTCCAGTTCCTTGTCTTATGGCCAACTTTCTGGCCAGAGTGCTACTAAGTTAGAAGTCCAGAGACCTGACTGTGCTATGTGACTTAGGTCAAGTCTTTTTCTCTTTTCTGAGCAGTGTAAACTTGAATGATCTAGGTCTAGAATTGTCCCAGAGATCCAGAAGCAGGGTTGAAGGAAGGACCAGTGACTGGCCCTCTGTCTCCCTCAGGCCCCCACGCCTCCCCCACGTTCCTCAAGAAGGCTCCGAGCTGGCACACTGGAGGCCCTGGTCAGATACCTGCTGGATGCACGGACAGCAGGGGCTGACATGAGCTTCACATCAGCCTTCTTGGCTACCCACCGGGCCTTCACTTCCACGCCTGCCCTACTAGGACTTGTGGTTGACAGGTCAGTCATCAGGGACTCAGGGTCTTAAAGGTGTCGACTTTTTTTTTTTGAGATTTATTTATGCATACAGAACTGGGGTACAGGCCAGAGGTGGAGGGCTGGTGAGAGGATTCACCAGAGACAGAGTGGGGAGCAGAGCAGGCAAGCTAACGAAGTACACTGCTGAGGGGAGCAGCAGGCAAAACAGGAGAGGTCTGCCGCGCCAGGTGGGTCAGCTCTCTGGCGGGGGATTGAACTCATGCTGAGGTGCCTTCGGGTAGCTTCACAGTACTGCACTTTAACCTCTTGCACCAGGGAGGGTCTGGCATCTAGACTTTCTAGTCAGAATATCCCAGCAAAAATAGTCAAAGCCACTAGGCTTGGGTAAAAATAAATAGGTTCTGTTTCCCTCCCCAGGTTGGAAACCCTTGAATCTCAGCCTACTGATGAACTAGAGAGAACCAAAGGGTGAGTGGCCCCAGCTTTTTTTTTTTTTTTAAAGATTTAAGATAAATCTTTATTTAAGGTTTATTTATTTATGCATATAAGAACTGGGCCAGAGTGCAAGGGGGGGTGGGGAGGGGATGGTGGGTGAGAGGATTCACTAGAGACAGAGTGGGGAGCAGAACAGGCAGATCCACTGAAATACACTGCTGAAGGGAGCAACAGGCGAGACAGGAGAGGTCTGCTGTGCCATGTGGGTCACCTCCCTGGCTGGGGATCGAACTCTAGCTGCAGTGGCTGCAGACAGCTTCATAGCGCTGTGCTTTAACCCACTGCTCCATGAGGGCAGGCCTGGGCCCCAGCTTCTTAACCCCATGTTCCCCTCTGCCTGAGCTGTAGCTTGACATCTGATCCTTGGCTGGTTCACCTTCTCCCAGGGTAGCCATCTCTGTACTGTCAACCTGGCTGGCCTCTCACCCTGAGGATTTTGGCTCTGAGGTCAAGGGTCAGCTTGACCGGCTTGAGAGCTTCTTGCTTCGGACAGGGTATGCAGCAGGGGAGGGTGTTGGGGGGGGCAGCGCTGACCTCATCCGCAACCTCCGGTCCCGGGTGGACCCCCAGGCCCCCGACCTTCCTAAGCCCCTGGCCCTCCCCGGCGATCCCCCTGCTGACCCCACGGATGTCCTGGTGTTCCTCGCTGACCACTTGGCCGAACAGCTGACCCTGCTAGATGCGGTGAGACCCTGACCTCTGACCCCATGCCCCCTGTCCCCTGACTAACCTCTCCTTGACTCCAAACCCTTTCCTTGCTTCCAACCCTTGATCAGCTCCCAGCCTCCTCCATCCACCCAGTTTTGAACTTTCCTCTCTCCCCTTGCACATTACCCTTCAAACCCTGTGCCCCTCTGGTTCCTTGGCCACCTGAGATCCTCACAGCCCCGATAATAGAAGGCTGACTCCACTTGATGATGAATTGTAACCTCTGACCTTTGGTCTGCAGGAACTCTTTCTCAATCTGGTCCCCTCTCAGTGCCTGGGGGGCTTATGGGGTCACAGAGACCGGCCAGGACATTCCCACCTCTGCCCATCTGTCCGGGCTACTGTCACACAATTCAACAAGGTGGCAGGGGCAGTGGTCAGCTCTGTCCTGGGGGCTACCTCAACCGGAGAGGGTCCTGGGGAGGTGACCATACGGCCACTCCGTCCCCCCCAGAGGGCCCGGCTTCTGGAGAAGTGGATCCGAGTGGCAGAGGTAAGAGAACTTATGGGCCCTGTCGGGGGCCAGGGTGTGGAGGGGAGTCCCACAGCTGCGGCCTCCCTCTGTGACTCCCCCAGGAATGCCGTCTGCTCCGAAACTTCTCCTCAGTTTATGCTGTCGTGTCAGCCCTGCAGTCCAGCCCCATCCACAGGCTTCGGGCAGCCTGGGGAGAAGCAGCCAGGTGGGGCACTGGGCTGGGAGTGAGGGCCAGGATCGCCTCTGCTGGGCCCATCCTAAAGTGTGCCGCTCTCCATCCTTTAGAGACAGCCTCAGAGTCTTCTCCAGCCTCTGTCATATTTTCTCCGAGGAGGATAATTATTCCCAGAGCCGGGAGCTGCTCCTGCAGGTGAGCACTATTCCCTGGCATTCCCTGCCACACCTGCTTTCCACTCCCACCACCACACCTGCCCCTTCTGCCACCACCAGGATGTGAAGCTGCAGCCCTCCCTGGAGACAAATTCCAAGAGAACCCCAAGGTCTGGCTCCCGGAGAGGGGTGAGTGACTGGTGGGGAGAGGGTTTATAGTAAGGACCGTGTGTTGGGGGAGCTGTGTGAATGACGGGAGAGGGGAGGCATCTGAAGCAATGGGATGGGGACATACACGGGGTGGAGAACCCCAGGATCAGGGGCAGGGGCACCTGACTCTTGCCTCTACCTCAGGGTGTGGTCCCCTACCTTGGTACCTTCTTAAAGGACCTGGTGATGCTGGATGCCGCCTCCAAGGATGAGCTGGAGGTCAGTTGCGTGTGTGCGCGCGCATGTGTGCAGGTGCAATGCGATGCCTCGGTGAGACAGCCCCTCACTCTGGGAAGAGGCCCCGACACTTGAGCAGTTGAGCACAGGACGGTGGAACCCGATTGTAGGGTTCTGGTGCTCTTACATTGAAAGTTGCTTAACCTCTTTGTGCCTTTGTGATCTGTACAGGAGAAACTTATTAGCTTATTACTATGAGGATTAAATGAGTTAACATTTGGTGAGTGTTAGAACATGCCTGAAAATATTTATTAAACGAGTACTAGGATCTCGGGCAAGTTCCTTATCCTTTCTGAACTGTAACTTTCTCATCTGTAAAGTGGATACAATTTCTACATGATATTAAACTTTTAAAGGGTAAGGCTGAGTGAGTAGGGCCTGGTGGATGTGAGGGGAAGAAGTGGACGTGGGTGTGTGGGTGCTTGAGAGAGTACATCTCTCTCCCATCCCCTCTGTTCTTGCAGAATGGATACATTAATTTTGACAAACGGAGGAAGGTGAGTGGAATGCATGGGTGATGCTAGATATCCCCAGCCATGTCCCAGAAAGGGGAGAGAGGTGTGAGTAGGTGTCCCTGAGTTTTTACTCCTACAGTCTATGGGCTCTTTCCTAGGAGTTTGCTGTCCTCTCTGACCTTCAGCGGCTCCAGAATGAATGTCGTGGCTATGACCTCCGACCTGACCCTGATATCCAGAGGTGGCTTCAGGGGCTCCGGCCACTGACAGAGGCCCAGAGGTGACTGTTTGGGTGAAGGTGGGATTCCAGGCCTTAGGCTGGGCCTGCAGGTTGGGGTGTCATGTCCTAATCTGTCTATTGTTCCCTCTCCCAGCCATCGTGTGTCTTATGAGGTGGAACCATCTGGTACCAGTGAATCTCCTGCCCCAAGGGTGCTTCGGCCAGCAGTGGTCATCTCACACTGGACAGAGTGAGTCAGTGGTCGGGAGCTAGACTTTTGGATACCTTTCTTTCTTTGACTCTCCCAATCTCACCCCTGTAGAGTTCTGGGCTCTGTTGGGGGTCCCACCTCCCTTGTCTCCTGGGACCGGCCTAGTGTCGGGGGCGATGAGGTGCCTGGAACGCCTGCTCCTCTACTGACCCGGCTGGCCCAGGTAAGCTCTGACCTCAACACTGACCCTGACTTTGTGAATGTTTCTTCCTCCATCTCCCCGCCTTCACGCCAGCCCCCATGTTCTTTGTCTCCAGCACATGAAGTGGCCATCTGTCTCATCTCTGGACTCCGCCCTGGAAAACACTCCGTCTTTGCAGAGTCCAGCGGACTCCAGCCACCTCTCGCCCCCAGCTTCTTCCCCTAGGCCTTCCCGAGGTCACCGCCGCTCTGCTTCCTGTGGCACCCCACTCAGTAGTGGTGTGGAAGGGGCCTCCAGGGGCACAGGATATGGGGAAGGGAGCTCTGGGCCAGCGTCTTCTGATTGCCGAATCATCCGAGTCCAGATGGAGCTGGGGGAAGATGGCAGTGTCTACAAGAGCATCCTGGTGAGGGAGGCATGGGCTAGGAGGGGCGCAGTGAAGGGCGGTGCCTTGTGGAACAATGTAGATGCAGTCTTGGGTTTGAATAGCCCACTGGGGCAGTGATCCTGCTTTGAATCGGGGCCTTTGGTTTTAGCCGCCATGTTTTACTTGATGGCTGTTTTGCCTTCGTTGCTGCATCTTTGTGGCCATATTCTCTTTGTAGAACCAACTAGTTTCCCCATTGAAAGTAGCCTTATTTCACTGGGATGGCTTGTCAAGTTCAGGGAACCACCGCCATACTGGGTTTCCTTGTTCCCTCTAAATTCACAGTGCACATGGATAGAGAACCTGTGCATGGATAATCTGGCTGGAGTTGAAAGGATGGGAAGCAGAGATCATCACGGCCATTTCACTGCTCTTTTGGTCTCCTCTCCTGCCAGGTGACAAGCCAGGACAAGGCTCCAAGTGTCATCAGTCGTGTCCTTAAGAAAAACAATCGTGATTCTGCAGTGGCTTCAGAGTTTGAGCTGGTACAGCTGCTACCAGGGGAGCGAGGTTAGAGGCCATGAGGGAGTGCAGACTTGGGGGTGGAGTGGTGCCCGACTGTGGGGATGCATCCACATCTGCGCCTTTGTGGGCAGTGACTGTGTTTGTGCTTGACGCCCCTTCTCTGAACCCACAGAGCTGACTATCCCGCCCTCAGCTAATGTCTTCTATGCCATGGATGGGACCTCCCATGATTTCCTCCTGCGGCAGCGACGAAGGTCCTCTACGGCTCCACCTGGACTCCCCAGTGGCCCCTCTGCCTCAGGAACTCCTCCAAGTGAGGGAGGAGGGGGTTCTTTCCCCAGAATCAAGGCCACAGGGAGGAAGATTGCCCGAGCACTGTTCTGAGGAAATCCTGCTGGCTTGTAGAACTCATGGGGCCTTATGTGGGCAGCCATCCTAAATGGTGGCAGTTACGTCGCATTGGGAAGAAATGCAGGAGCAGCAGCCACCCTGGGGCAGTGAAGTGCCACTGGCTTACCAGATAGCCGAGAAATCCAGCCCTGTGGGAACTGGCAGTCTTGGTAACCAAGTAGGAAGCCTGTGTATAGCCCCCCAATTTCCATGAACACAGCACATGGCTAGTGCTGGACGTTGTGGTCAGTTGATTCCTGGCCACATCCTAGCATGCCAAGGGCATGGAAAAGCCTAGTAGCTCTGAGCCCTGGGGTGAGGGGATGGCAAGAAGTGGATTCAAATACGAGTTTCTTTTCCTACATGGTCCCAGTCACTGTGACAACACTAAGATAATAAACCAAAACACTACCTGAATTTCACTTCCCTGTTCTTGCAGTGTATGACTAGCCACTAGAAGTGGGGGTGGGGAGTTGAGTCAAGGCAGATGCCACAGATCAAGACTGTGCCCAATGTTTTCTAGCCCCACAAAGAGCTCCGAGTCAAATACTGTGGAAACTGATTTCCTCAGAAAGGCTTATTCCTCCCCAGCAATCTGCCTCTGGTCCCTTTATTTCTCCCAGTTGTCAGAGACCCATGTCAAGTACTAGCCACCCAAGTGCAGTGATTGGCATGAAGAACTCCCGTGATTACAACTTTTAAACAATTTTAAGACAAAACAATTTTGTGGACAATGTACAACATTGGAGGATGTACATCACAAAGCATTATGTGTTGGAATTTTAAATGTTTTGCTATACTCTAGAGAGAGGCTAAAAAGAACTAAGATTCCAAGGGGCAGTATCTCCTGGAGGACGACTAGTCATAGCAGGGAAGGCCACTGCATTTCCCTGTGGGGTTTCAAGTTTGAGAAGTGGAAGTTCTTTCATTTTTAAAAAGATTTTATTTATTTGTACTTAATGGAACTGGGTTACAGGCTAGAGATGTGGGGGGTGAGAGGATTCACCAGAGACAAAGTGGAGAGCAGAACAAATGGACTGACAGAAATATACTGCAGAGGGGAGCAGCAGGCAAGACAGGAGAGGTCTGCTGAGCCATGTGGGTCACCTCCCTGGCTGAACTCATGCTGCTGTGGCTGTGGACAGCTTCACAGTGCTGCACTTCAACCCCCTGTGCCACCAGGGAGGGCCTGGGAAGTACTTTAATTAACTGACATCCCCATAGACTGTGTTATTTTTCATATTTACTCATGGGGTGTGCCAACCAAAATAAGGGAGCATTAAGGCAAGAAGTAAGTTTGAGACAGCTGAAGAATTTGGACCTGATGGAACAATGTAGGTGGGGAGGGGAGGGGGAAGATGACACAATTATGACAGAAGTGGCTGGTTGGAAAACAGCCAGGTATTTTCACATTTTATTAGCTACAGTATAGACCCTAGAGCTGCCTCATTCCCTCCCCTTCCCTGCCCCCCATCCTGGGGTCAGGCCTTCCCAGAAGCCCCTGCCTTTGCTGCCTGGGCCCGCTGGAACTCCTGTTGCAGCTGAGCAAGAGTCTCCCTCTGTTGTTCTGACTGCCGCTCAAGGTCTCGGAGCTGGGATTCGTATCTCTTACTGAAGAGAGGCAAGAGAGAAATGATTGAGGAATTAGATGTGCTTACTATTGATGGTGCTGTGTGAGAGGTAGATGAAAATGTTGAGATCAAGGGAGAAATGGAGCTAAGTGAGTAGGGGTTGGAGGAAGCAGACAACTGGGGCTACTCCAGAGAGCTACTTCAAGGTTTCTCCACACCTCTAAGAGTGTCAAATGCACCACAGGGTGGTAGAAAGACTCACATTTCAGCTGTGATATAGTCCAGCCTCTTTCCCACTGTGGCCCGAGCCTCCCCCAGTTCTTGTTTGACCAGCACGGGACCCAGAAGTTTAAAGACCACGTTGGACCCATCCAGCAGGGCCAGTTCCTGGAGGGGTAGGACGTGCATCATGAGAATCACTGCCTAGTACCGGTCCCTCCTCTCCCCACAAATCCCAGTCTCTCACCTCTTTCACGATATTGTTTTCTGTTAGTTGTGCCTCCAGCTTCTGCCGCCCTGACATGGACTTACTCAAATCTAGAATGAGAGAAAAAAGATTTGGTTAGAGCTATAAATGGCGCCACTCGACCCCCACCATTCACAGTCAGAAGAAAATGGAACCGAGGAAACAGACAAGAATGGAGAAGGAAGCGGTGGGGAAAGGGCGCCGGGTGGGGAGGGCACAACCTGGAATAGCTCTGGGTTGTGAGTGTGAAGGGATTGGGGCGAGGCTACACCGACCCTGCTCTCCTACCCTTTTGTAGCTGTTGATATTTCTCCACTTCTCCCTGTAACTTCTTCTGAATCAGTTCAGCCATGGCGAGGATGAAACCTGCGGGGAGTGGGAGAGGGGCAGCTGGATTTCACTCTGAAAAGGACCCGAGGTTTCTTCCCTGGCCTGGTCTGCAGAAATGACGGTACTCTGGAAAGGCAGCCTCTACCGGTTCTGGACAGCCACTCTACTCCGGCTCCAGGGTGTGGCGGCTGAAAAGAGACCCCGCCAAGCCCTCAACCGAAACCGGGTACTACTCACGTTCTCCTCTCAGTATTGAAAACCCGGAAGTAAACAAAGAATGCTGGGAATAGACGGTTCCGGGAGTTGCCGTCTGACGCATGCTGGGAATTGTAGTTCTGACGCGTTTAGTCCGCGGCGTTCTGATAAACTTGACCTCGGACGGTTTTAGGCAAGATGGGAAACGAAGACAGAGAAAGAAATTGTACATTTCTTTGTCTCTGCCCCGTGCTTCCTTTCCTTATGACTTGGTTCTCAGTTGACGCTCGTGAGGGACAGATCAAGGCTTGTCCCGTCCCTGAAAGGGGCGCGCGCCCTTATCTAAAATGGCGTGTGACTGCTTCAGACCTGGTACGTGCTGATTGGAGAAGCCTGAGGACTTCCGGGAGTTCCAGCCGGACCGTGGGACAGCTGTGAGCGGTTTGCACGTGGATCGTTCGGGGTGGGCTAGATGGAGACAGCCCCCAACCCGGGCAAGGGTGACCCGCCCAAGAAGAACAAACTTAAGACAAAGAAGGTACAGACCTCCCTGGGATGGGAAGGGAAGTTATAGCTGCGGAGTCGAAGGGGCGGGGCGCGGGCAGCGGAGCATCAAGGCTTCTGATCTGTCTGTAGAAACCCCGGCGATACTGGGAAGAAGAGAGCACTCCAGCCGCTGCAGAAACCTCTTCAGGGCCTCCTCGTAAGAAGAAGAAGAAAAATCGAGAGCTTTGTCCCCAAAAGCCAAAGAACTCTCACGTCCTTAAGAAGTCTCGGATTGCCAAGAAGCCACAGGTGCCAAAGAAACACCGACAACGAGGGAAGCCAGAGCCTCAGCGAACTTTGTCTGGGGTGAGCCTGCGACCTAGCTGATGGGATGGTGGGGCAAGTCGCCTGTGTTTTGAGTGTGTGAGGGACGTGGGTCAGCCCGAGCCAATCCTCTAATTGTGTCCTCCTTGCCCCAGGCCCAGGACCCATTTCCAGGTCCCGCCCCTGTCCCTGTGGAGGCGGCCCAGAAGTTCTGTCGCATTGATAAATCCAAAAAGGTGAGGACGAGCCTGGGAGTGGGGAAGAGTTGCAGTAAAGGTGAGTTGGAGGAGTCAGGGTCCCCACGCATCCTCTGGTTTTTCTCCCATTCTTCCCCCACCCATGATGTTATAGTTACCACATTCTAAGCCTAAAACTCGAAGCAGAATTGAGGTGGCTGAAGCTGAAGAAGAGGAAGTAAGTGCCAAAGCTGCTCGAGCTGAACTGCTGCTTGCTGAGGAACCCGGGTAAGTGGGCCTTAACCCGGGCCTCACCCCCCGCCCTCAGTCCCTGCTTTATGCCTCTCCTTTGTCATTTTATGTGGTACACCCATTTCATATTAGAGAACTTTGCTGCAACTCTGACACTCACAGGTTTCTCGAAGGAGACGATGGGGAGGACACAGCAAAGATTCGGCAGGCTGACATCGTGGAGGCCGTGGACATTGCAAGCGCAGCCAAAGTGAGCCTGCGATTGGGAAAGGGGCTCATGGGTTCACTGAGGAGCAGAGCAAGTGGGCAGTGGGTATTAAGAAGGCGTTACCAGGCCCTCCCTGGTGGCGCAGCGGGTTAAAGCACAGCACTGAGAAGCTTAAGCCACTTCCCCACGAGTTCGATTCCCGCCTGCCCGGGAGGAGATCCACATGGCGTGGCAGACCTCTCCTGGCCCGTCCACTGCTCCCCTCAGCAGTGTGCTTCGTCGATCTGCCTGTTCTGCTCCCCACTCTGTCTCTGGTGAATCCTCTCATCCTCCGCATCTCTGGCCTGTACCCCAGCTCTATATGAATAAATAAATGAATCTTTAAAAAAAAAAAAAAAAAGAAGAAGGCATTACCAAAGGGAATCAATTATTTCTGGGTATTTTTTGTTTTTACTTCTCCCTTCCCCAGCACTTTGACTTGAACTTGAGGCAGTTTGGACCCTACCGCCTGAATTACTCTAGAACTGGGAGGTAAGGTTGAATTCCAGTGACTCTGGAACCAGGCTGTGACCATGACTCTTAATCGCTTGAGCCTTGCCCACCTCAGTCAAACCACCCAGCATATTGGGGCTGTTGATGTGGGAGGGGTCACTGGGGTTTGCTTGCATGTGAGGGTGAGTGTACATTTCTCCTCTCGTCTGCAGAGGAGGGACTGACATGGGCAGACTCAGATGATCTGATGGTGCTCCTCTGTATTCACAACCCTGTCTGTCCCCCCCGCTCCAACAGACACCTGGCTCTTGGAGGGCGCCGAGGTCATGTGGCTGCCTTTGACTGGGTGACAAAGAGGCTTACCTGCGAGATCAATGTCATGGAGGCAGTACGGGACATCCGGTCAGTGAGGGTGGGAGAGGCCAATCCCTGATTGACTAACAGCCTGGGAACCCCGTTCCCATTAACCCCCCACCCCTCCTCCCAGGTTTCTGCATTCAGAGGCATTGCTCGCAGTGGCTCAGAACCGCTGGCTCCACATCTACGACAACCAGGGCATCGAGCTCCACTGCATACGCCGCTGTGACCGTATCACCCGACTTGAGTTCCTGCCCTTCCACTTCCTCCTGGCCACGGCGGTGAGTGCCTGTGGAGCACAGGCTGCGTGGCAGCCCCTGGGAAGACTGTGCATCTGCTGGGACCTGGGATGAGGGAGGACAGAGGGCAATGAGGACTCGTTTTCTCTCGTAGTCAGAGACAGGGTTTCTGACCTACCTGGATGTGTCAGTGGGGAAGATTGTGGCAGCGCTGAATGCGAAGGCTGGACGGCTCGACGTCATGGCTCAGAACCCTTACAACGCCGTCATCCATCTCGGACACAGCAACGGTCAGTTGCTGGCTGACACCCTCTTGATTTGCTTTTCTTTCATATTTGTACTTCCCAAGTCTCTTAAAATTGCTCTTTTAACTCCTCATCACCCCTTGGCCTCAAGTGTTTGTCTCTCTCTGGCTTAATCATCTCACCACCCCATTAGAAACCTTAGCTTTTCTCCTCTGATCCAGGTACTGTATCCTTATGGAGTCCAGCTATGAAGGAGCCACTGGCGAAGATTCTTTGTCACCGTGGTGGGGTTCGGGCAGTGGCAGTAGATTCTACAGGCACGTAAGTCACATGCTCAGGCAGAGGGACTGCTGTGTGCTTCACACTTTCTTCCCCTGTCACATCTGGCTGACTTTCACACAAGTTCCTGTATCTTTGCTTCCAACTCTTTTCACCCATCAGGCTTTCACTGGGATCGTGGCAGCTGGACTCTCTGCTAAGGCTCTGGGGGTCTAAGGATGCCCCGGCCAGTGAGCCTGCCCTGGCACACTGTTCCAGTTATTTTCTATTTGCAACACAAGTCACTGGAGCGTCTAAGAATGATGGCCAGGTGGTGCACTTCACTTCCGTTCAGTTGTCTTCTGTCACTCCAGACTCAGTGTGTTTGTTGTGGGATTGGGCACGCTACTCCCAGGGTTTCTCCTTGCCTGCTCCCTTTTGACCACATTAACTCCTGGAATTTGACTTGACACCTCTAGTTAGCTATTTAGCCCTGTGTTCTTCAACCATTCAAGCAATCAAACGCACTACTCAGTGAGTGCTGTCTGGGTTTGGACTTTGCTTTGCTCTGTGGAGTCCTGACTGCTTTGCCCCTTGAGGGTGTCTCCTAGATCTGTCGTTTCCATCTTTGCTGTCTCTGAGGACATGTGAGACCATGACCAGTTTCCAGCCTTCAGCTCCTCCATTATGTCATGGTGATTCAGAGTCATCTTTCCTCTTTTTACACCGTGCTCACGAGCCTTCTACATGAAGTTTTGAGTCACCTGAATTCATTGTTATTTTAGAAAACATCAGAAAAAGGTGGCCAGCAACTTAAGAAAGCCTTCTAGACGCCCAGACCACACCCCCTGACCTTTGTGGACAACTCATCTGGCCCCACTCTTTTGACTTCATAGCTGTGCAGCCTGGCTCTGGGAGAGGGCAGGGCCTGCCCAGTTGTCATTGGTCACTCTACTCCCAGGGTTTCTCCCTTGCCTGCCTTCTATATGCCCTGGGCCTAAGCTGTGGTTGACCTGCCCTGGGCTGACTGGGTCAGCTGCTTCTGTGCAATGATAACTGCACAGAGGTATGTTCAACAGCTGAGGCTGATGGTTCTGCCACTTGATCTCAGGCCCACCCCGCTTATTTCTGACCCTCCTCAGATAAGTCATAGAGGCTCCAGAGATGAATTTGTTATCTCTCTCCTATGGTTTTCTGGAAACTTGAAGTAGAGCTGCATTGGATTCTCTGAACTGTTTCTTGTGGTCCTGTATTGAGGCCTGGATGTGCACCTGTCCCATGGACTGGCATTTGTGTGGGGGGTTCCCAACACAATGTGTGAGGGGGGTACAACCTGTGCCCTTAGTGCTGGGTCACTGGATGGCATGCCCTCGGGTCCCAGGAGCCTAGCTACGCCTGGTTTGCACTCTGGGCCTTTCCCTGTGGTGGTGTTCGAGTTCCCATAGTCTGGTCTTCTCAGAAGTATCCCACTAGGCCTCTATCAGCCTTCTACAGGGTTGTTCTCCACTCATAGTAATTCTTCAGCCCCCTTTTGGGTGCACAGCCAAGACTAAAAAATCAACTCTTTGGCTAACCTACATCCCCAGTACATCCCCCTTCAGCCTCTCTTCTGAAGGATAACTTAAGCATGGGTAGAAACTCATGTCTCTGAAGAGTAGACAACTTAAGCAGGCTCAAAATTCTTTGAGAGCATTTGATCTCCAACCTTGCCCTCCTTCAGGGAAAAAGGTTGGGAGGGTGGGTGGAGCGGGGGAGGAGGTGCAGGGCCTTCGGGCACACTACATGGCTTCCTGAGGGTGATCCACGCAGTCGTCATTGCCAGAGAGCATTGCTGGAGACTTATGGTCCTCAGTCCAGTGTGCACAAACTCCTCGTTTGTCCCATTCCAGTCCTCTTGACCGTATTTCATACCAGTTCTGAAAACAAACCTGTTTCCATCTGGCTCTGGGTCTCACGTTACTTCATTTGTACTCAATATATCTATCTTGTGCTTTCTTGGGAGTTAACCTAAAATGGTTCAAATCCTACTTTGGGGCCCTCCTTGGTGGCGAAGCACATTAAAACGCAGCACTGCAAGCTGGCCACAGCCACCTCCGTGAGTTCGATCCCCAGCCCCAGAGGTGTCTTACCCGCTGCTCCCTTTAGCAATGTACTTCGTCAATCTGCCTGTTCTGCTCCCCATTCTGTCTTCAGTGAATCGTCTCACTGCCACTGCACCTCTGGCCTGTACCCCAGTTCTGTATGCATAAATAAATAAATGTTTTTTAAAAAAAACCCCACTTTGCCCAGCAAGTACACTACAGCAGTTCACACTTCCCTGTGCTGTCTGGACTGCGGAACCTGACACTTAGGCCCAGGCTGTCTCATGTTCTTCTTTTCATTTAATACGTTGAGTATCAAAGAGGGTAGACACTAATGAAATGAGTCTGACTTGAATTCTGACTCATTTTGATTTCCTTTCTCTACATTTCAGTTTCCTCATCTTGGAGGGAAATGAAAAGATTATAGAGTTGGGGCAGGGAGCAGAATAGGAAAAAGGGATCAAGAGGCACAGACTTCCAGTTACAAAATAAATTTAAGTCATGGGAATGTGATGTGCAGCATAGGAACTTCAATCAATACTGTCTATTGCGGGCCTCCCTGGTGGCGCAAAGGGTTAAAGCGCAGCACTACGAAGCTAGCTACAGCCACTGCAGCACAACTTCGATCCCAGGCCGGGGGTGGGGGGTTGGGGGGGTGACCCACATGGCGCAACAGACCTCTCCTGTCTCACCCACTGCTCCCCTCAGCAGTGTATTTCAGTGGAGCTGCCTGTTTTGTTCTCCACTCTTATCTCTGGTGAACCCACCGCCCGCACCTCTGGCTTGTACCCTAGCTCTTATGTATACAAATAAAATCTTTTTAAATAAAATAATCTATTGCACATATATACACAGATATCGATATATATAATTTATCTATTGTTAATGTGAGTGTGCGTGAAATTGTATAGTCAAACTGGTTAGATGGCAAGTTTTACGTTATGTATGTTTTACCACACACAAAAAGGATGGAGGTGTGTCTCTCCTACGCACGAGGATGCCTGCAGAGTGGTGTGATAGAAGCACTTACTGTCGTTACTGGTCCTTTTCTCCCCACCTACACTTCATTCCTAGATTTGCCCGCTAGTCTGTGATTGAGCTCTCCCCTTTCTTTCCCCCAGGTACATGGCCACTTCTGGCCTGGACCACCAGCTGAAGATCTTTGACTTGCGAGGGACATTCCAGCCCCTGACTGCTCGGACCCTGCCTCAGGGCGCAGGGCATCTGGCCATCTCCCAGCGGGGACTGCTGGCGGCAGGAATGGGTGACGTGGTCAACATATGGGCAGGGCAGGGCAAGGCCAGCCCACCCTCCCTGGAGAAGCCCTACCTCACCCACCACCTCTCAGGCCATGTGCATGGCCTTCAGTTCTGCCCCTTTGAAGATGTGCTAGGGGTCGGGCACAGTGGGGGCATCACCAGCATGCTGGTCCCTGGTAAGTGCCAGGGGATGGGCTCACAGTAAATGAACTCAGGATGGAAATGAGTAGGCTGAGAGCCACAGGCAGGGCTTGGTCAGGCTGGAGCTGCTGGACAGAGTTCCTATTAAGGGCTCCATGTTCCCTCCCCACTCCAGGGGCTGCTGAGCCCAACTTTGACGGTCTGGAGAGTAACCCATACAGGAGCAGGAAGCAGCGCCAGGAGTGGGAGGTGAAGGCCCTGTTGGAGAAGGTGAGATGACCTGCGTGCGGTCTGGGGGCAAGGGTGGGGAAGGCTCTCCATGCTGGGGATGTTGGGAACTGTGGCCTCTGGCTTCTGTTCCTATTGGGTTCCCCCCCCCCCCCCCCCCCCATGACTCCTTATCCATTTCTGTCCCTCTGTGATACCTCCAGGTACCTGCAGAGCTCATTTGTCTGGACCCACGACTCCTGGCAGAGGTTGATGTCATCTCTTTGGAGCAGGGAAAGAAGGAGCGGATAGAGAGGCTGGTACGGAGCTCCTGTTACCTCACACCACCCCATCATGTCCCCAGAACTCGGCACAGTAGGTGGGTGCTGCAAGTTCCCTGCCTCTGGGGCTTTTGTGGATTTCACTCTGCTCTCCTAGGGCTATGACCCAGAGGCCAAGGCCCCCTTCCAGCCAAGGCCAAAGCAAAAGGGGCGCAGCTCAACTGCAAGCCTGGTGAAGAGGAAGAGGAAAGTCATGGATGAGGAACACCGGGTAAATGAGCATTTGGGGTGTGGGCCAGACCTTCCACAAGCGGTATCCTCCTTTTCTGTTTGTGCCTCTGGCCTGGCCAGCTTGCCTATCTCACCCTTCCATTCCCCTCTCCAACCAGGTCAAAGTACGTCAGAGCCTTGAAGAGCAGCCACGGAAGCAAGAGAAGGCAAAGCCTGCTGGACATCGGCCGTCTGTCCTGGATAGATTTGTACAATGAGCCAGGCTCCTGGGTGGCATGAAAGTAAACTTGCCCCAGGATTGGCTTGTGGAAAATGAGCCTTTTTGTGGAATAGAAAGGGGAGCAGTGTGCCCAGTCCCTGACTGGGGTGCACATCTGGTTCCAGGGGTGGGTTGCCATTAAAGAGGAAGATGGGTTTTTTAGCTATTGTGTCTTTATCATCCTCATTTCTCTTCCCTGGCCCAGCCTGGGGCCACTTTAGGTCCCGAGAGGCTGGGGTATCCTGCCTCCACCCTTACCCACTGTGGTTGCTGTGGCCTTAGCCTTGCTGTTTAGGGGCCATCGCCCTCAGAGAGGCTACCTCTGTCTTCCACATCCTTCTAGGAGTCATGGCAGTCTCGGCTCTCCGGGTTTGTTTCTGGGGCTCCTAGTGAGGAACACACTACACTTGGAGAGGTAGAAAGATAGGTTTATTGAAGGGTGTGTTCCCTTGCCCTGCCATAACTGGAGGGGACAGCTCCAGCATTTCTTTGCTCTTCCTGATGACCATCTTTGGAGTCGGCAGGCCAATCCCCTAGATTCCTATATCCCTCTAGTAACTAAACATCCAAACAGGAAACAATGATTGCCACCAGTGGGGGCCCAGTCTTGGGCCCGAGAGAAAAGTCATGAGAGTCTGAGGATGCTGGGTGGGCCCTCAGCTCCTCCTGGGGCCTCTGCATTCAGCTGCGAAGCCAAGCTATTACCCGACACCGCGTGATGCCCAGGACGTTCTGGAGCCAGGAGCACCAGGGTGCAGTCCTACCCCGACTAGAGCTGCCCACCAGCTTCCAGGCTTCCTGCATCTTCCAGGGGTCCAACTTGTGGGAGGTCAGCAGGAACTTCCCATAGCAGCACCGGTCCAGGGGGTAGTGGGTGGCGCCAGCTAGCCTAACACAGTGGGTTGGAGAGAGGCCACCTCGTCGGGCACTCACCCCCACAAAGACATCCTCCAGTGGCAGAGAGGGTGCCCGGCTGGCCACTCTGAGGACAAGCTGCACAGCTGAAGCTGACAACACGTAGCCTGTGCCCGAGGCATAGGGTGGGAAGGGGCCCCAGGTGGGAGGCCACTGCTCCTCTGATATCTGGTGCTTGTACCCTGGTGTCCGAGAGGGGTGCACCCGCCAGTGTACACGGCCCAGGTACAAAAGAGGCACTGGCTGGTCCCCAAGGGTGAAGTGGCCTCCCTTTTGTTCAGGCCCCCCCTCAGCTCCTCCCTGAGACTCCGAGCCCCTCTCCCATAGCTCCGAATGCCCTTCTCGCCGGAGCAGCTCTGATACCAGTTCAGGGATGTTGACAAACACATCGTCATCAGTTTTGAGGATGTAGCGGGCCATGGGGCAGTGTTTGTCTGCCCAGTTCAGCCCACTGAGGGTCTTCAGAGTAAGGTTGCGGTACGAGTCCTGGAAGGCCGCCTGCACGATGTCCCTGTGGGTTTCAGACTCGCGTGACAGCTCCTTCTCCTCCGTGTCCCAGGCAGGATGCCCCCTGTTCGGCTCTCCCAGCAAAAAGAGGGTCTGCACCCTGAGCCCTTGGGCCTCCCGCAGCCTGCCCCATGAGGCTCGAATGGCGTTCCTTTGGTTCAGATTCTCCGTGGCGGAGCACACCAGAATGAGCAGGAATGGTGGGGCGCCCGGAGTCCTGCAAGCGGCCTCGTTGGGAATCAAGAGGCGGGGCAGGGCTAGGGGCGGCCCAGGCGAGGCTGGAGCTGGAAGCAGGGAGGCTAGCGAGAGGCTCAGCAGCTCCTCCTCGATACCGGAGAGCCCCAAGAGGGTCCAAACAATCACCAGCAGCAGGGCGGCAACAAGAAATCTCCGGAAGAGGCTGAAGGGCATGGCGTGTGATAGTCACAGGGGAGCTGGAGGGAAGGAGAGGGTGGTTAGGCCGGAAGAGGCTGAAGGGCACGGTGTGTGATAAAGCGGAGCTGGAGGGAGGGGGAGGGTGGTTAGGCCGAGTCCCAATTGCCTGGGCAGCAAACCGGCCTGAGATGCGGCAGGCGGGGCATGGGGCCAGCGCCTACCGTACAAGGTGGAAAGCGGGGTGAGGTTTAAGATCAAGGCTGGAGAGGGGAGGTTACCTTGTGGCGGCCCCGCAGCCCCGGAGCTCCGCGCCATGGCTTCCAGATCGGCTCTCCTCGCCCCCCCTCCAGCACGGCGGGGGGGCCGCCTCCACACTGGAACCCACCACCACCCGCCCCTCCTCCCCCGGGCGGGAACCGACTGAACCCCTTGCTGAAGGAACGCTGCGGAGCTTTAACCGGCAGCAGCCTACAGCCCCAGCCAATCACGCTGGAGAGCCTGGTGCTGGGGTTGCTCTTCCGGGTCAATGAAATCAGCATCTCCCCCAAAACTTGACTCTCGGCTCTCCTTTTATAAACTAGCTCTCTCAAGTGGTCAAAGTGGGAAGCTACTCACCCTCAATAGCAACCGGCTCAGCTCTGCCCCACCACCTACCTACAGTTGCAAGCGCCACCCTCAGGAGCTGTTATCTAGAGACTCCACCCCCTGGTTGGTTGGTTACCTCACCTTTAAGAGGGATGACGGTTAAGGGCTGCAACTGAAGTGTTAACTAAGACCAAGGATACTCACTGCCTGGGAAACTGAGCGGGTAACATCAGGATAGAGAGGGGAAAATGCCTAACAGGGCCCAGAGTGACAGCACTCTATGCCAGCACCCCCCAGAACAGAGCCACACAGATCATTGGTGTATAAACTATTTATTAACAGACAGGGCCTAGAGATTTATTTCTTCTTGGACACACCAACAGTGCGGCCACGGCGTCCTGTGGTCTTGGTGTGCTGGCCTCTGACACGAAGTCTGCAGGGGAGAAAAATAGCCATGGGTCATCCAATACAGAGAAATGTCTGGGAATCTGGGGAAGTCAAGATAAGAACCCCACTCCCACTCACCCCCAGAAGTGGCGCAGCCCTCTGTGGGCCCTAATCTTCTTCAGTCGCTCCAGGTCTTCACGGAGCTTGTTGTCCAGACCGTTGGCCAGAACCTGGATTTGAACGTGGAAGGATGTTTGTCTTAGTCTACCTCCCATGACCAGTTGTAAGTGAACACCTGCCTATTTCTCAGCTATCTCCTTTTAACACACACCTGGCTGTATTTCCCATCTTTCACGTCCTTCTGTCTATTCAAGAACCAGTCAGGAATCTTGTACTGGCGCGGATTCTGCATAATGGTGATCACACGTTCCACCTGGCAGCAGGACAAGGGTCAGATCTGAAGTTGGTGTCCACCCCCTCCCAGGCCCACCAGCCCCACTCCTTGTCCTCACCTCTTCCTCTGTCAGCTCTCCGGCCCTCTTGGTGAGGTCGATGTCTGCTTTCCTCAACACCACATGAGCGTATCTTCGCCCCACACCCTGAGGAGGTTTTGTAATTGAATGAAACTGTTTCAGAGTCCTGCTACCCAGCGCTTTGTATTTCCACATCACCCTCACCCCACTGGTTTATCCAGATGTGAAGCCTAAATTATGACTTGTAAAGGGGTTCAGGACTACAGCTGGGCCAAGAACAGGAACTTGGGGGTAGGTAACCCATTGAAAGTAGAAGCTCTTTCTCATTGCCAGAACATGTAGGTGGGCACAACAGCAGCACGAAGAGCAGTACCTTCTGAGCTATTCATTGTGGAAAAGGCGCCTGGCTCCCCAAGCAGATTGCAGCATCAAAGCAGGAAGACTAGGGCCTTTGAGTTAACAGGATTGATAAGGAGGCAAAATTGTCAGCTGCTTGTGGTCACTAAGGATCAAAGTCTTTTGGCAGGCTGCCACATACCCCATAACCAAAACTTTCTAAGGCTAAAAACCTAGTTTTATCAGTGCCCAAAGATGACCAGAAGCTAACCTCTAAATCAAACTCAAAAGGGAAATAGTACTTACATTGGTGGCACCACACCAACACCATACATCTTACTAAACTCATACAAGACAGATTTGGTCTGGTGTTAAGGGTAGAACATAAGCACCCTCTTCCCCCATGTAAGGCTATCCAGAATCTCAGAATGTGACCATATTTGTAATAGGATCATTGCATAGCGCTAAAGCCACTTGAGCATGAGTTCAATCCCCGTCCTGGAGGAGACCCACATGGCGTGGCAGACCTCTCCTGACCCGCCTGCTGCTCCCCACTGTCTCTGGTGAATCCTCTCACTGCCCCTGCACCTCTGGCCTGTACCCCAGTTCTGTATGCGTAAATAAGTGTTTAAAAAAGAATATTTAAGTCATACTGGATTTGGTTGGGCCCTAAATCCAAGGTCTGATACCACAAAAGGAGAGGAACAGAGAAGACCATCTATGATGAGACAAGAGGCTAGAGTGATGCAGCTCCAAGGCAAGGAAATCCAAGGCCTGATGGCAATCACCATGTAAGAGGATTCCTAGATCCTTCAGTGGAGCATGGCTTTACTGACACCTTGATTTGGTTATTTGGCCTCCAGAACAATGTTTCTGTTGTTTTAAGCAAAGTCTGTGGCAATATTATCATAATAGCCCCAGGAAATGAAAAGAGCTATTTTCCCTCTCTGAGAAAATGCTTTGGGGGCCTGAACCGGTGGCACATGGGATTGAAGCACAGCACTATGAAGCTGTCTGCAGCCACTGCAGCATGAGTCCAATCCTCAGCCTGGGAGGTGACCCACCCATCAAAGACTTCTCCTGTTTGCCCATTACTCCCCTCCAGCAGTATTTCAGTACAGCTATGTGTTCTGCTCCCTAGTGAATCTCCCCCCCACTCTGGCCTGTACCCCAGTTCTTGCATACATAAATAAATCTTAAAAAAAAAAACAAACAAACGAAAAACAAAGATATGGGGGCCTCCCTGGTGGCACAAGGGGTTATGTCTCAGCACTATGAAGGTATCAACAGCCGCTGCATCACACTGATCTCCAGCCAGGGAGCTGACCCACACTGATCCCCTCAGTAGTGTATTTTAGTCAACCTGCCTTCCCTGTTCTCCACTGTCTCTCTGGTAAAATCAGTGTGCCCCTCTCCACCCCCCACCACCTCTGGCCTGCACCACAGCTTGTATATATAAATGAAATTAATCTTGCTGTGCTTTAAACCATTGTGCCACCAGGGAGGGCCCCCAAATCAAATGTTTTAAAGTTGCTGTTAAGCTCAAGTTTCTCAGTCTTTTTCTGCACTCTAGACACTAGCCTCCAAAGTCAATCCTTTCTCAACCCCAAGACCCTCAGGGTTTCCTATGTCTAGGGGAGAATTTTCAGGAATCATTACTTAATTCTTTGTAGACCAAAGGCCTGGACCACATAGTAATATTAACATCTGTAAAGTAACTGGAACATTATTATTCCTGAGGTCTCAGGTATTTCAGCAGGACCAGAGAGTTCCTTATAGACAAGGCGATTGAGCATCTTTCAGTCACTATGACCAACTTTAACCAACCCCTCCCAATTTTCCAAACAATTCAGATGGCAGCTATCACCCAGATTTAGAGAAAATGTGGGGAAGACTGGCCAGTCTTAAATAGTAACCACTGCCAAAGTCTACAAGTGGAGACAGTACAGCTAAGAATGGACCATAGCACAGAATAATCTTGCGGGATCTGTAAGACCATTTTATACCCTCTGCCTGTGTCAACTTCCATTCTTCACTCTTTTATGGGAAGGTTAATTTCACTTACACTTTTGAGGAACCACTCTCCCCATAAACTTTCTTAAATACTTCCTCCCATGCTAGATCCTTAACAGAAGACCACCACCAACTTTTAGTTCTCACCAGCAGAAAAGTTAGCTGTCTGTTCTTTGCTCTCCACACACAGAACAAACACCCTCAGTCCTCATTTATCTTTAGGCACCACCTTTGCCAGTGCTAAGGGGAACCAGGATCCTTAAGAATTTAAAAAAAAAAAAGTAATTTATATTTACTTATTCATGCACATAAGAACTGTGAACTAAGCCAGAGGTGTGGGGTGGGAGGATTCACCATTGTCTGAGTGGGGCGCAGAGCAGGCAGAGACAGGAGATATTTACTGCACGACGTATCACTTCCCTGGCTGGGGACTGAACTTATGCCATAGTAGCTGGTGATAAGTTGACAGGGCTGGGACTTTAATCCCCTGTGCTACCAGGGAGGCCTCCCTTAAGAAATTTGTTATCAAAACACCCATAAACTACCTAAATAAAGCAGCTTTGGTTACACTGTGGTTAGCTGCAAAGGTTATGGCACACACTAACTAAACCAGCAAGTGCAAAGCCAATTAACTTCAAAGAGGAAGAGTGTATCAAAAGCATCCTATTAACCATACTCATCTTCTACATTCACTATCTCATATGATAAGTTCAGCAACCTGTGAAAAATTTACAGTACTTTACACTGCCACCTGGTTTCACAGGCTGCAGATTTATCTACTATCGAAGAATAAATGAAAGCTGTGCTCCCTTGCAGCACAGAATGAAAAAATAAAGGGGATATTCACCTTGTAAGTCAAACTTTAACCAACAACTTACTCATAAAATAAGTATGGGCTTCCTTTAAATTTTGTGAAACCAAACCACAGTATTCCTGATAACATTCATTCCCCAACAGGGTATTAGCACCTATGATGTGCCAGAAACTGAGGATTGAGCAAGACAGGCTGATTACCCCTTTTCCCAGAGAGGGAAAGGTAGCCATCTCTATAACTGGTCACATGTCTTGATTAAAGGAAAAATGTCTTCATCCAGAAGCCTGAAAGTTCATGAGATGAGAGCCAAGTCTTGTTAACTACATGCAGCTAGCCAAATGCTGGTTTCCACTTCCACTTGAAAAGGGCAATGATGTAGCTCTGGCATCTGAGTAAAGATCCCAGCCCAGTGGTAATGACAGCCCTCCTGCGGACTGGTTTCCTCACCCTTAGATGGTGTTAGCATTTTCACTCAACCCTCAAGATGCATCTATTACTAGCCCATAAGTTTCACAGGAAAGGATGGCTGTTATGCACAGAAGCAGGGTGAGGGGTGGCAGAAACCAAACCTAAAATGGAGCTCACACGCTGGACAATGGTCCAGAAACACTGTAGTAAACCCAGAGGACAACAATCCCACTCTCGCCATTCTCTGAACTGACCCAAAGCCTGAGACTATTCTGACTTTCACTACTTACCTTTTGGGGTAAACGTGTAAAGGGGTTTCTTGCTCCCTCTTTTTGATTCTGAGGTGATCTCACTGGGACTTAGGTTTTCTCAGCCTTGTCTGATTATGGCTTCAATCTCAACCACCCACACTTCGTTTACCTTCTCCATTCCTTAGCCTACTTTACCTTAATTGCAGTGATGGCAAAGGCTATTTTCCGCCGCC